TTTCCATTAGCGCCCACGCTAAAAACGCTAATTAGTTAGTTTCCTCTCGCTCACGCCAGAGGAATCAATAAGTACCTTTCTTTTGGTTCGACAGAACAAATCCAAATAAACCCCCTCACACATTTAATCACATGAACTACAGCTTATAACCGTTAAAACTAAAAGTCTTGTGCAGCGGTGACCCAATGAGGACAACCCCCTTTTAGGTATTTAATCTTTAATTATGTTGTAGTAGCGTGGCTAGCTCTTTTTCTTCAAACTGAATTAGCATAATGTAAATATCAAGTCTGTTACTCGTCTTCAATGCAAAACAAAGTTCTGAACTGGTGAGTTTTTAAGAATTTTGACATTTTTTAGCCTTAACGCTGAATAAAAGACTATAATTGGTGACAACTGCACCAGTTGTGAAAACATTTTAATGTGGGAGACATGGATGCATTTGTGATCCAGCAGCAGCTTTCATCAGGCCCTGTTCACACCAACTGTTCATGCTGTTTGCACCTCTAATTTAAATGCAAAGATAATGTTTTCATGAGTAAAGCAGAGATTGTTTCCTTTGATTAAAAGAAGCAAGTCTGTATTTTCCCTAAATACAGACATGAAATGAAAAGGAAGGACACAACTAAAGATGCTCATCAGGATTTTTAGGGAATGCCTTTAACATGGTTTGTGTTTCCATGACAACCTTTCACAGGTGCGGTCTGCTGCAGGTTGGAGACCGGCTCCTGTCAATCAACGGGATTGCCACAGAAGACGGAACACTGGAGGAAGCCAATCAGCTTCTCCGAGACGCAGCTCTGACCAATAAGGTCACACTGGAGATAGAATTTGATGTAGCAGGTTTGTAGAAGTAATAAAAAAAACTCAGCCTGGTTACTTTAATTTGACTGCATCAGAAATATTGGCGTGGACCCCATGGAGAGGCGTCACAGGAGGTGTTTTCCCACTGAAGGAAGCATACATATCAGGGATGTGTATTTTTGAAATTCTGGCGATACGATACACATCACGATACAAGGGAGACGATACGATAAATCACGATATATTGCGATACATTCAGTCAGACGTTACAAACAATTGATTTTACTGAATTTATTGTAAGAATGTTCAGTAAACAGTCCAAACTGATACGTAACATGTTTAACATGAGGTATCTGAACCATGATGGAGGGATTTACATATCAATGGTGGAAACAAAACTCGTTGCACACTGCTGCCAACTAGCGGGTGGCGATTGAATTGCACAAAACGAAAAGAAAATACACAAATGTTTGCACGTAAATTATTTCAAGAATTAGATACACGGCTTTTGAATATCAATGTAATAATTACAGGGAAAATATCACGATATATTGCCATATCCATATTTCCAATACACAGCTTTTGAATATCGATATAATATTGCTGGAAAAAATATCACGATATATTGCCATATCAATATTTTCTTACATCCCTAATACATATATACACATATATTTCCTTTTTTAGGTTGTAGATGTATTATTTAAAAAAGGTTCAAATGAACAGATCAGGGAAACTTCCAACATAAAATCTGATTTGTTTTTGGTAAAAACAATGGATTTTATGGTAAACTCTCCAAAGTTTAACCAAAGCCATCATTTGTCATGATGATAATCTTATTTTTTGCTTGGCTTGTTGAATTCTGCCACAGACTCATTCTAAATGCACTTCAACTGGATCACTTTATCAGACTCATGAGCTGGGAGTTCTTGAATCATGAAGAAGAAAAAGAAGGGGTGGACAGAATAATTGCAGCTTTCACTTCAGCACATGGACCCATCATAATGCTTTTGGCCCCTGTAGAAACTCCCAGCACTGTATTATTGTCCTCAGCCTCTGAGCAAGTCATCTGATTGCACTCATATCTTTGTATGAAATTAATTTTCAGACACCCTAAATGTAGGATAGAATGGCTAACCCTTTCTGCAGCACTGACCCGCTTCACACACAGGAGAGACGTGGTGAAGAAAAAACATGGAGACGGTTTTGGGCTTATACTGCGTGGTGTGCGGCACCACAGCAAAAATGTTCGATGGTATGAAGAGAAATCTCGCAAGTCCTCTCAAGATCAAACATGACTGTGGAATAAACAAACATGGTGGAGGAGGAGTGTGCTGCATGCAAAATCAGGTCAAGACATTCATGCACAATCGATAACCCCGATTTCCTTCTGAGCTGACCAGAAAGCTCTCAACACACCACACACAGCAGGATCATCTGAATCTTTAGAGCATCACAACAATCAAGGGTGTCTTTTAGGTGGAAGAAGAGAATTTGGTCAAAACCCCACATAAGTATCTCACCACCGTGTGAACCGGACCTTAGATAAGCATCTCAAGAACAACTGAACTGATTTCAATGAAACTTTCATAAAGAAATCTTTGCATCTGCATCTGAAAACTGATCAGGGTTTGAAGTCAACCCAATTCAAAATGGCTACCACAGCCAACTGACCTCATAAAACCCAAACATGACTATAAATCAGTCGGTCTGAGCAGATTTTGAACTCAAATTTGAGAGTCATTCACACACTCTGACCGGTTTCATAGGAGTGAGGATATTTTTAAGTTCTCATTTTAGAACATAAGATGATCTTAGTTTAAAAAAAACCTGACATGAAAGCTAGTGGCTAACGTGCATTCCTGGAGAGAATCCTTTAACTGAAGTCACCTTGTAAGTTTAGAAAGCAGTTTGTTATCATATTTACGGTATCACCATTCACCAAATGAAAGAAGAGATTTCTAGCATCTCATGATGAGGCTTACCTCTTTGAGTTATTTACATTAATTTTAACCTGTCGAAGGCCGTGTTTTAAAGTCCTGCCAGCCATGTTTGTGTTTAATGTGCAGTTTTGTTTATTCCACCAGAAAATAAGTATTAAATTATTCCTGTGGAGGAAATGAAGAGCCGATAGGAACATGTGGATTGTGATTAGAAGCTGGCTGAATTTATTAGTTTTTTGTTGTGTTTATTTACCAGTTTTCCCATCATGGTTGTGTTGCAGAGTCAGTGGTGCCCAGTAGCGGAACGTTCCATGTCAAGCTGCCAAAGAAGAGAGGAGTGGAGCTGGGACTCACTATCAGTGGTAGGAGCACACAAAGGCTCTCATGATCTACTTTTTGTTTGGATCTGCCGCCGGCAGCAGATTGTTTAAATTGCACCAGAGCTCCAACTAAACACACAGACTGCTTGTGAATCTTTCATGGTCGCCCTGCTGCAAAGCTCAGCAATAAATATCCAAGGTGTTTACAAAATGCTGTTGAACTTTTCTATTTTATGCTGCTGGCTTTGCCTTATATAGCCAGCAGCTTGAGAACACATTTATTTGATGGATTTTTGCTGTTTGTTTCAATTTGTCAAGCACATTGTAGCAACAGCATCACAGGTTCTAAAAGAGGGTCACCATTAGTCTGTGATTTTGTAGCCTCCTTTAGCCCCCTCAAACTAGCGCAGGCCTCGCCGATGTTCACTCTAGCTTTAGCTCTTTGCTTCACCTCCAGGGACATTATTCTCTTACTTTTACTTCCAGACTTTTTTTTTTGTTCTTCTTGTGTTTTTTATTGACAGTCAGCAAACTGAAAAAGCTAACAGCTAGCTTTTAAATTAGCTATTGGCACATAAACTAGCTAACATCATTTAAAGTGGGAGTCAATGCACGGGGGCAGAGTTGTTTCATCCACACTTCCTGTTGGGAAAATGCTTCTGAAAGTGGACCGAGAGAGCGGCACTGAGGCAGTGGTAGACCGCAACCCCCTCAACCCCCCTCAAAACTGCTTAACCCTCCCACTGTCCTAATGGGTGTGACCCCGTGAGGAAAGTTGACCATTGAGCAGGGTTGATGGTTTATCCCTTGGGTCCATGTGGCAGGGGTTAGGAGTGAGCACCACCTCACCCCTGCCAAGTGGACCTCAAGGGATAAACCATCAATCCTGCTCAATGGTCAACTTTCCTCGTGGGATCACCCATAAAGACAGTGGGAGGGTTAATGTTGCTTTACATGTTCTATCTATTAGGATGTTGTTTTATCGCAGTACAACAGTACAAAGCCTCTGCTAACTTGTAGACCATAAAAGCAGATGTTTTGCAGCTGTTGACCAAGTCATTCATCACACTGAGAAGCGTTGGTGCGCTTCAGAAGGCAATACTTACACTGAATGTTTAATCTTCTCTATTAGGAGTGTTGGAAGATATGTCTCAGTGTGTGTCATTATTTATTATCACCACAGGTTACTGCTGAACCAAACACTGTTTTCCTCCTTATTAATCACGCTTTAGTTAAAAGCATGCATATCAGGTCAGTGGTTTACAGAAACCAGCACCTGGTGGTTTTGAGTTAGGGGTTTTTAGAATTTCTCCAACAAATTACAATTTTAACATTGAATAATGAATGTTTAATAAATTCTGAGAAAACACGTGGAACAATAAAACAAAATTAGGGTTTGCTGCAGTGTGGTGACTCCCTCGTTCTGCTGGGGGACTTTAACGCTCACGTGGGCAATGACAGTGAGACCTGGAGAGGTGAAGTTGGGAGGGACGGCCCCCCTGATCTGAATTCGAGTGGTGTTTTGTTATTGGATTTCTGTGCCAGTCATGGATTGTCCATAATGAACACCATGTTCGGACATAAAGGTGTCCATATGTGCTCTTGGCACCAGGATACCTTAGGCCGCAGCTCGATGATTGACTTTGTTGTTGTTTCATCTAAACTGTGGCCGCATGTCTTGGACACTCGGGTGAAGAGAGGGACGGAGCTGTCAACTGACCACTACCTGGTGGTGAGTTGTCTCAGATGGTGGGGGAGGATGCCGGTCAGACTAGGCAGGCCCAAACGTATCGCGAGGGTCTGCTGGGAATGTCTGGCAGATTCTCCTGTCAGAAGGAGCTTCAATTCCCACCTCCGACAGAACTTCCAAAATGTTCCAAGGGAGGCAGGAGACATTGAGTCTGAATGGACCCTGTTCCGTGCCTCCATTGTTGAGGCGGCCGACCGGAGCTGTGGTCGCAGGATCGTCGGTGCCTGTCGTGGTAGCAACTCCCAAACCAGCTGGTGGACACCGGCGGTTAGGGATGCTGACAAGCGGAAGAAAGAGTCCTATCAGGTCTTTTTGACCTGTGGGACCCCAGAGGCAGCTGACGGGTACCGGCAGTCCAAGTGAAATGCGACTTAGGTGGTCAACAAGGCAAAAACCCGGGCATGGAAGGAGTTCGGTGAGACCATGGAGCAAGACTTCCGTACAGCTTCGAGGAGATTCTGGTCCACCATCCGACGCCTCAGGGGGGAAAGCAGTGCGCTACCAACACTGTCTATAGTGGGGACGGTGTGCTGCTGACCTCTACCCAGGACATTATGGATCGGTGGGCAGAATACTTCGAAGACCTCCTCAATCCCACCGACACATCTTCCAGTGAGGAAGCAGAGTCTGGGGACTTTGGGTTGGCCTCTCAAATATCTGGTGCTGAGGTCACTGAGGTGGTTAAATAGCTCCTCTGTGGCAAGGCTCCAGGGGTGGATGAGATCCGCCCAGAGTTCCTTAAGTCTCTGGATGTTGTGGGGCTGTGTTGGCTGATGCGGTTCTGCAATATCACGTGGACATCGGGGGCAGTCCCACTGGACTGGCAGACCGGGGTGGTGGTCCCCTTATTGCAAAAGGGTGTGTTCCAACTACAAGGGATCACACTCCTGAGCCTTCCTGGCAAGGTCTATTCAGGGGTTCTGAAGAGGAGGGTCTGTCGGATTGTTGAACTTCAGATTCAGGAGGAGCAATGTGGTTTTCTTCCTGGCTGTGGAACACTGGACCAGCTCTATACCCTTAAGCCGGGCGTACACTGTGCGACTTTTTCACTTTTTTGAGCCGATTTTCCAGTCGTGCGAGAAGCCACGACATCGGGGCGAGTTTTGCGCCGAGCGGTCGTGTAGTGTACAGGGGGTTACGAGAGGCGATTAACACCACGTGACCAGCCGCCGATCAGCAGTCGTGAGGTCGCAGGGACTTCTGGTGTGTTTAAAATTTCGCTCGTCCCTCGTGAGGGTATCGCACTGTTGAAGCGGCGCTGCGAGCAGCTGCGACCCAAAAAGTATCAGAACCGTTCACGGCGCATGCGCGCGCAATCCTGCATCATCGCCGGCCGGTCGCTCGCTATTTCCCTAATAACACACGCTGTTCGTTTTTGTTTCTACACGTTTTTTTTTACTCACAAAGATTGTCAAGAAAGCGTGTTTGTCGTGTTCATGTCAAATTAAACTGATCACAAAGATTTACTTTCTTTATTTCGTTTTCCTCATCCAACCCCCATAAATCCCTGTGTGTCCTCCTGCAGCACTCCCGAAGGACAACAGGCAAGACAAAAAAGTCTGACGTGTTGAGTAAAAACTGCTATTTTTAGCACATTTTTAGGGCCGACGTGTTGCTACCAGACGTACAGTGTGAGCAGTCAGGTCGCATGCGAGAACTGGGTCGTACAGTGTGAGCACACGACTCGTGAGATCTGCTCTGCGAGGAAGTCGTACAGTTTGAGCTGAAGCTGAACGCTGCGAGTGAAAAAGTCGCACAGTGTACGCCCGGCTTTAGGGGGATCCTGGAGGGTGAGTGGAAATTTGCCCAAACAGTCTACATGTGTTTTGTGGATTTGGAGAAGGCGTT